AACCTTAAAACAAAGGGTAATCTCGGAAACTCCAAGGATTCCAACATCGAGGTGTTTTGTAGAAAAATTTCCAGATACCGACGAGGGCATTCTCGCAAACTGAAAAGGATATACTCGGATAGCCACCAAGTTTTTAAAGAAAGTTTAGGTTCCAAAAGGATATCGGATAATACTCTTTCGGGTTCGGACGATACCCTTTCCATTTTCGAACATTTTCCTCAAATATCCGTTAGGTTTCCGACAGTTCGGATGCCCGTACTGTATTCTAAAATATCCTTTCGGTTTCCAAAGTCACTTGCAAAACCCCCAAGTGTTTCGTATTAGATTTCCAAAATCTAAAAGAGTTTCCAAACCACTTCCAGTTTCCGAGAAAAAGCTTTTTTTTTAGAGTATAGCAATTGACGATTAATGCAGCCAATTGGAACCTAATAATATCTAAAAGCAAAATAATTCTAGCCAATGTGTTATAGATACCAGAATTACAGTTTGTACACGCATTTTGAACGCTACCATGGACTAATTCGTCTTTGACTGTGTATAGGTATAAAAAATACATAAGAATCGATTGAATTACTTCCAAAATTCATTTTCCATGTATAATTTCATCAGTATTGGTGTATGCTACTAAAAGTGTTAAATGAGATGACGTTACATCATTTAGTAAATGAAAAATATTCCATTGAGGAATTGAGCAATTAGCATCAAATAATGTTAAGTAATAAAAAATATCAATGCGGATACGTAACCATTGTTGAATATTTGATTCGTAGTATAATATCATTTAGTACAACATAATTCAAATACTTGCATACTGATTGGGTGACTAGCTCTCTGGCATCACTGTTACATCTATCCAAACACATAACTTAAAGATGTTCTTAGAACTTATGATCAGAAAAATGAGTGGACAACTGCATAATTCAATCAATTCTTATGTATTTTTTATACCTATACACAGTCATAATCGTCAATTGTTAGCATTTACCATGGCACTAAAATAATGTCTTGCTTATTGTTAACACATTTTTATACCACATCGAAACCAGATTATGTCATTGCAATTAAAACAAAATAGTTGTCATTAAATCATTTCAATCATCGGACCAAAGCGAATAATTCGAAAACTCAGAATTTGAAAAGAAAACTTTTGGTAACAGTACTATTAACGTAAGACTAACGTTAAATATATGAAAAATAGGTAAGATATTGAAAAATATATGTAAAGAAATGAAAAAATTATTGCAGAATGACCTCCCCGATTTTAGGTGAATGTTTTAATGGAAATTTAATATCTCAAGAAAGAAAAAGAATTTCAGAAAATGGATATGTGGGTTTGTGCTCCGCGATGTAGCCGGTCGAATGGCGTCAAATTCAAGGTTCCATCTTTCAAGGAAAAAAAGGAGCTAGGTTTTTCCGAATTCAGTTTCCAATACTGAATCCGAAAAAGAATGTTTGGAAGCTTCAAAATACAAAGGAGAAAAAGTATTCAATTTTTTCGAGACATGAAGGTTTTTTCCGATTTCAAGATCCTCACAGTATTTCGACTTTTACTACGTGAAAACATCCACTGGGAAGGCTAAAAGGGTGACATTCTTGATCAGCGTGAAATTCTCTGTCGAATGATGTATAAGAAAACCAAAAATAAAATAGTGCTCCACCTTTGAATTACGCGCGCGACATCTGTTCGTAAAATGTCATCGATGTTGAACCAATAAATCACATTGACCGCAAGGACACATCAATACATAGATGATATTCGATGTATTACAATTCTACACACACAAGAGAAAGTTTCATTCTTTGCTCAAGAAAAATGTTCTGAATTATCGAACTTACAGTTTGACAGTTCAAAATGGCCTCATACTTATTCACAAAAGGATGAACTTGATTTGGCGAAAAAAACCGAAATCGGAGTAAATCAGAGCAAAATTTTTTGAAAGTATGGGAGGAGGGGGTGAGTAAACGATGAGTATATGGTTTAATTTCGCCCATTTACGATGAAAATACAGCCCGCAATAGCGCCGTATTTCTCCGTAAACACACGGACAATAATACGGCCGTATATGCCCGTATCGTATACCGCGAGATAAACGGCCGTATACGGGCTATATTTTTTATCGTTTACGGCAGTGAATACACCGTTTTCCTGTCGTTTACGACCCGCTTTTGCTTCGCTATCTAATCCTACCGTTGACCTATAATCGTCCTGTACAATTAAAGAAATACAGTACACACTAGGAAAAACCAGCGTAACAATAATAAGAAAAGATGGACAGAGGAAAAAAGAGAAACGAAGCAGAAAAAGCATGTTAAGGGAACCAAAGTACACAGAAAAAGCTCTTTCACACGTTTGAGAGGAAATGTGAAGAAAGTTTTCACAGTTAAAGAGAGCGACTAGAGAAAAAATCGGATAAATCATCTTGTCTTAATATGCTTAACAGTTGCCTTGTATAATAAACACTGAAATTAATTTGATCCATTTGAGAATGATGCTGAAGTTGTTATCTTGCGGACGGTGTTGCTGTTGTTGTAGCGGCTTGTGTTGTCGATTGCTGTTGTACTATCTGTTGTTTCACTTGTTTTCGTTCGCCCATCCAGGTCTCCAACAGTGTACTAATCTAAGAATACCTATTCGGCCAAAATAATCGTAAAGCGGAATCACATTTTTTCCGCTTCTAACCGTAATTTCTTAATCAGTTTAGAAGATAGGATGCTGAAATTTTTACCAAATCTGTCTGACTATTTGCTCGACAATCTGTAAAAGGTCAGTTAAATTTTAATTTATGGTTCGAATTTTATAACCAAAATATCGACCATTACAGAATCACCAAAAACGAAACAGTCATTCCGACGCGATTTAAAGTTATCCTAGTCTTGGCACAAATGTTCGTTCATTTTCCGAACACTTATTAGCAACTGTTGATAGTCAAAAGCAGTCTGTTAGCATCAGCATTTTGTGCTCTTTCCGAATATATGCTATATACTTTCTACGTACAACAGCATTCTGTGGAAAAATCGATTTTTCAAAACCTGCCTTTTAGAATCAATAAATTTGAAATATTTTTGCCAGAGAGAAAAAGAAAGTAGATAGAGCATTTTTGTAGAGCAAACTTTGCTCTGCAAAACTGCTGTATTAAAGGATGTTCTATGTTTTGAGTTAAGTAAATTTAATGAAAATAAAAAAATAGATCAAAAATATTCTGTACAGACTTCATTTTTGGCTCTTTCAAACATTTGCTCACAGTTAACCAACATTAAGCTAGAAAAAAACCTGAACATTCGAAAAGAGCGCACAATTCTAATCCTAACTGATTGCTTTTGACTATGAACAGTTGCTAATAAGTATTCGGAAAATGAACGAATATTTTGTGCCAAGACTTTCGCGCCATGGGTTACGGTAAACCACCAATACCGCTGCATGCTTAGTATAAACTTGACACTCAAGCAAGAATGTTCAGTGGTTTTGCGGGAATGCCCATATAGGTGATAAGATGCATTTTCGCCTAAACAATACTTCACTTAAAACTCCAGTTTTCAGACGTATAGCAGAAATGTCTGATGTTCTGGAGAGAAATTATAAACGTTTTGGCAGTATTGCAAGGGTGAGTTGCTTAGAATCCCAATCAGAAAACCATGAAATGTTGTATATAGCGTGAAAAACTCTGTTTTCTAATGAAGTGTTTCTTAAACCATATGTTTTCACCACGTAACCGTTCTTAAATTTTTAGTTTTTTTTCTTGTTATTGCGCGCATATGATATTATATGATGACAATAACGATAGCGATAACAATGAAGCACTGGAATTAGAACTACGTTTAATATTAAACCATTTGACTGGTAAATGAGAGGACACGAGCCGTAAGCAAAGAAAATCTTTCATAATGAATGATCAAGATTCACGTATTTTTTTCTTTCACTTTACAAAGAGACACTGAAGAAGATAACGTGAACCTGGATGACAATGCTAGTAAATATCAAGCAAACACAAAGTAGATGTGGAATTATTTGTATTAGAAATCAAGCAAAGTTTGCAAAAAAAATAATACTTTGAATATAATGTTCAACACAAAAAAGTGATCGGAACATCCCACACAAATGTGAATAATGCTTTTGAATATATCATTTTTGTCATCAGAGAAGTAAATGAAAGTCCTTATTACATTTCTGTAAGGTCATTTTCTATGATTCTTTAGTTGTACGTCTTATTCCCATGCTATGCGCATATACAAATCTATTAATTTCGTAAAAGATAATGTTTGTGAAGGCAATGTAGATAAAATGTAAACTTTGTTATTAATAAGCTAAGTAGTGTTTTAAGAAGACTATGTATCATCGATAGAACATAAACTGTATAATCTTCATTTCATCCTTCGAGATGAAACAGTTAATACTTTAAATATGAGTTCCAGTCATATTCCTCACACATGTTTTAGTCATATTTATTGTTTAATTCTTCTCTATATTTTTTAAGCTCTGAATGAGATTGTACTTCCAGTCAATAAACATGACCGATTTTTTTCTGTATTCTGAATTAGCGAACTATTAATAACCTTGAGCAATAAATGGTACTTATTATTATGTGCAATTCGTCCTCTCCTCTCTTCAATGATGCAGAATTTTGTTGAATTTATACTATATACATTCAATTGAATCAAAACTACTACTAAAACTGAGATGTTGATACCACTTAGTATCAGAGCATTTTAAAGTTTCTCATGACATCCCTACATAAACGTTGTTCTTTTCTACTGTTTGTTCTCAAACAAAAAGATTAAATGTTTGGCTAATGTTTTAAAGACTCTTAATGTTCGGTAAGTGATTGTTTACAGAAAATTTAGAGAAGCACCTCTATTTTTATATACGATGAAATGCCTTTATTGACATTTATGAGAAGACGAAAAATAACTAAACGGCTGAAAATAATAATAGTAATAATAATAATATTTTTATCGTCCGTCACTTTTCTCACTCATTTTCATTAAACAAAAACGGCTTTTTCATGACTGCAATCGATTATTTTCAATTTCAATCTTCAAAAACTCTTTCACGCTCATCGAATGTAACATTACCCATTTTTTTATCTACCATCAACGATGTTTATAAATCACAAACACAAAAAGCGAGATATGAAGAAGATGTTTCATCTATCTATTATTTGCCAAAACGTGTGAAATATTATGAATTGGCTCAAAACTGCACAAAACAAAACACACTAGTGTCATTAGATCCGCCGAAAACAACAACAGTTGTTACGTCTTCATTTTTATCTAAACGAAATGAAATATCCAGTGAAAAATTTATGTTTGAAAACAAAAATGATTTGCACAGCTCACGTCTATTCGATACCTTATCGAAGCATGTACAAATCAAACCAATTCTTGTTCCAAATGTAGTCCATCATAATAATTTAACATCCTGGCAAAAATATTGGGTTGCTGCACATTCTTCTCAGACAGGGTATGTGTTTCGATAGAACATCAAGAATCTGCAAGTTTAAAACAAAAAAATCAGCCACTCTGCACTTGTCTATAGTAATTTTGAATGAAATTTTCACCTCTTCTAGAAAAATCTCGACCCAGATCGAAAATACTGTTGAGCCAATCGTTCAATTTGTGACACTTCGTGATATATCGAACAATCAGAGTAGAAAGAGCAGCTCAAATTCAAATGATTTGTCTCACGAAAAGACAGAAAATAACTTAACAAATTCCACCAAGTGTTCAAGTATAAATAGTTCATCATCAAATCAAATACCGGCAGATAGTATTCGTTCATCTAACTCACAACATTTGACACCTCAACTACTAGATTCAACTGAAACTATGTCTAAATCAACAGCTAAGACATCAGAATCCTTCAATGTGCCTAGTGCAACGTCAGAAATTATCAATTTACAACAATCACAGATTGAGACAAGAAGTTCATTGAATACTCAACACTATACACTACCTTTGCCATCAATTAAACTTGAACCAATCAAACCATCAAAGACTCGTGTAAGATCTAAAGCTTCGAAAAAAAGACAGGTTATATCAACTGCTACTTCGACAATCACAATAGATAATAAACTCTCTCAAACAATAATTCCTAATCATTCGAAAAAAATTATCAAAACTTACCACACACTGGTTGACAACAAATTTTCTAGACAACAAAGAGATCAACCAAAGCAATTGTCATTCGAAAATCTTTCCTGGATCTCTAGTTACCCACTTAAAAAAAGCGTGGTAGATTCAAAAAGCAACAGGAATACGAAAAATGATCGTTCATCGACAACAACAAAATTAAAACATTCAATGCCAGTCGTTCATCTGACACCCAATACCAAACCAAAAGTGAAACAAACGGCAAAAAAACTAACGATAAGTCAACATGGTAAGCAAGATTGGACAGAGCCATACATTGGTAGACGACGCGATCCGCCTGCTCCATGTGCTTCACCCTCAGCATCAGCACGTTCTACTCCCATAATGTTTACGGTTGAACAAGGGTCCTGAACTATAGAATTGTACTTTTAATAAATTACTTTATTCTTTGCCTCGCAGTGTGGATGAAGCAAATGCCATGAAGACAACGACCCATGTACAAAATGTGTTTTACTTACTGTGTATTTTTTTAACAGTTCCTCCAACCCATCCACATTACAACCCCTCAATAACTTGATCCAGTTGACTTCAAAACTTTATCGTAAATACTAGACAACATTGCGAACGCGTAGATTTTCTTTTGGTTCTATCATCTTTTCTTTCCGAGTTAAGTTATTGAGGGATTGTAATGGAACAATATCAAAAACAGAGTTATCTAGAAAACTCAAGAACCTTGTTAGCTAGAGAGTTGCAACAAAAATGAAAAGATGTTCAATTGAGTTTTCAATTAGTCCTAGAATGGAGAAGGCCTTGTCATTTTTAATTTATGCTTGACAATATTTCTACGAATAGCAGCAAAAGGAGAGAGGGATACCCTTAAGTTGAGTTATTATTGAATACGTATTAGTCTATTGTTAGAATCTTCTAACACATGATTTAATCATGATTTAAATACATCCGTGATTTATTATATTTGAGCTATTTGTAAAATTCCATTGTTCATTCATGGATGGAGATGTATAACGTTTAGTTGTACAATCATAGCGTGTTGAACAATTGTTAAAACTATTGTTCGATTCTTCATTATAAACACGTTCGTTTAATTCAAATGATTTTTTTTTATGATGATTTAACATCCTTGACATTTCATCATTATATAATTGACTCCTGTCACTATGTTGTTGATCGTATGTATGGTGACATGTGTTATTCACTGGTTTTCTATTATAGAGGACGGATGATTGTTGAAATATTATTGATTTATTTGTCATTGTACATGAACAATTTAATGGTAAATAATATGAACGAACATCACCTGTACTTTGTTCATTGTCGAAATAGTTTATACAGCGTTCACAGTAAATAATATGATGAAACGACTGTTTTTCATCGATTTGTTCATATTCGTGATGATCACCAGCACTTTCAGTTAATTTATTCTCAATTAACGGATCGAATGAATCAGGAGTAGTGAATGATGTTGTTTGATCACTACCAGACTTACCAATGAAAAATTTCTAAATAAAAATAACTGTAGTTATAGAATAACGGATTATTTTTCGAGTAGAACAGCACTTGTGAGAATGTGAATTCTCCATTGTATGAAGATTTCGGTTATAAACTTACCGTTAAATATTGAGAAATACAATTTTTCATTTCTATTGTATAATCACTTTGATTACTTTTTCTTTCTCGTCTTATCAATCGGCTTCTAAAAACAAAAATCAAAATTGTAGTTAGTGTGTTCATAATATGGCGATGCGCGTTTAAGTGAGACAATCCGTACTACTTCTCCTACTGTACGAGTGGCAAAATCGTGTTGTCATTGTTTTAGTATTCAATTTTATGTCTTTGAACATGTGTTTAAGCCATATCAAGTGACAGACGTACCATATGTTATTATTTTTGGCTAGAGGCAGACACGTCTTACTCATTATCTTATATATATTGTTCACTTGTAATCGATCTTTATCAATTTGTTTTTATAAAGACTATTGATCAACTACAGCTTCATTTCAATAATGTCTTCTCTTAAATTGGATTAATGAACTGTGAGAATTAAATGATGTACTGGGGAATAAACTCGAAATATATAGAACACCTATGTCCATCCTCTCTATTTATCTAACAGAATATTGCATCGAACATTTGAATAGTTAGTATAGTTCATTATGAATGGAAGACAATTCTAAAATATTTGCTTCTTAACTTTTTACCAGTGTTTCATAGACAATTAATCAACTTTTTTGATAACAAAATAATTTTATATACAAACTGTATATCTCTTATTTTGAAAATATGATTGATACAACTGTACGTTTGGGATCGATCTACATGCTTAGTATGTACGAATCACGTGCACAAGTTAATATCATCATTATCAATAATGCAAAAGAATCTTTTTGTGAAAGGTAGAAATCGATTTCTTATTTTATCGAGTAGAATGTAACTAATAGAAATAAATAGAGAAAAATTTATGGCAAAAGTTTCGTTCGTTCTCTGACGAAGGAGCATTCCCAGCTGTCCAACCCCGATTTCTTTCAAATATATATCAATCGATAACCTATATCGAGATAGTAAAAAGCCTGAAAGGATTGATCCCATGGCTCTTGAAGACCCGATTTTCTGTAAAACTGGTTTTCCAGGAACTGTGAAAAAATAACCAAAACGCTTCTTAATAGGGCATG